AAAAAAAAGAAACAATTAGTTGGGCGTGGTGCAAGCCTGTAATCCTAGCTACTGGGGAGGCTGAGGTGGGAGGATCACCTGAGCCAAGGAGGCTGAGGCTGCAGTGAGCTATAATCATGCCACTGTACTCCAGCCTGGGCAAGAATGAGACCCTGCCTCAAAAAAAAAAAAAAAAAAAAAGTTACAGAAATCTAACCTTGATTGAGTCACCTAAGACAATAAAAAAAAAAACCATGGCATAAGTCTTCCTACTCCCAAGGACCTGCCACCCTCTCATCCTGCAGGTAAGTTCCACTACAGATTCGTTCTGCCTTTGATGCCTTCGCTATTCAGTGTGTCAAATGGCCACAATGCACCCTGTCCATCTCCAGTGAACACAAGAAAGATGAGAGGTGGGAAAAATACTGAGTCAAAAAAACATGAGTTCTGGTGCCGATGCATCCCCCTCCCACAGGAGTCATACAGCTCCAGGAAGTCACTCGGCCTCACTGCCCTCGGCAACTACCTGCAAAGACAACACCCAGTGGAGCAGGCCACCTATGAGGCGACGCTGTGCTGACGTCCCACTTCATCTGACATGTATTCCTAGTGTCCCGAAGGTGCGTCCTCAATTCTAACATGCACGTCTTCCCTCCTAATGTCTCTTAAGCTGGGCTGTCTTTGCACAGTGGATAGCAGGTCCGACATAATGGGCAGCACATTTTCTTTCCTAGTGGTAAGATCTCTCACAGGCAGGGATGCTGTAAGATCCTAAGTAAGTGGTAAGTTAAAGCAGCCCATTCTGCCCCCCAGGGGGTCACTGAGCTCAGAGAACTCAGAAGAAAAACAAGCTGAAATCTGCCAAGGGATGTCCCAAAGCACTTGGGAAAAGCCTCTCTTCTAGACCAGCCTTCTGCATTCCAGTTGGTTTGTCTGTGGGCCCGGGTCCAGGCTGCGGGCTCCCTGAGGGCAGGGCTCCGTGTGTCTGGCCATGTCTCCAGGTCCCTACACACTCACCAGGTCTCAGTCGCTGTCATCAATCCACGTTGTGGTCCAAGCTGCCTCCACGGAGGCCAGCAGCGGCCACTGCCCCCAGCTCAGGCCTCAGTGGTCAAGGTGCTGACCACCCATGTCCCTGACCTCCCCGGCTGGGATGGACGCTGAGATCACACTCACCAGCACGTCCCTGAAGAGTAACTGCGGCCCCGAGTGCACAGTCCAGTCCACCGCGCCGCTATTTGGGATCTTGATGCGAATCACCAGCACCTGGTTCTCCATGGCAGGGAAGGGGCGGAAGCCTAGCCACAGCATCCCAAGCAAAGGGGCTCACATGCTGGGGCGGGGGCACACCGGCCCCCGGGCAGGCGGGGTTGGGGAGGCTCCCAGGTGACAGAGGCTCTCAGGTGACAGGGGGGTCGCAGGGCAGGGAGGAGGATAAGGGGCACCAGGTAGGAGCGCGCAGGGACCGAGTCGGGCCCGGGTCGTGGGGTCTGGGACTGACTCCGTGAGGGTGCCGCGGGAAGGCGGGAGCCAGCGGAGGTCGGAAGGTTCTGGAGGTGGAAGGATAACGGCAGGTGCCGCTCTCCGCCTCCCTACGGCTGCGAGGAGGGGCAGGGCGCGGGACCCGTGGGGACACACGGCGGCAGGTGTCACCCGCCCCGGCGGACGAGGGAACTCGGCCCGGGACCAGCAGGAGGGAGCCCCGGGGCCGCCACACCGCGAGAAGGCCCAGGGGACCTCCGCGGGAGCGTCGGGGCGAGTCTCCTGCCCTACCCGAAACGGGCCCAGCCCCGCCGCTCGAGGCCGCGCGTCCCGGCGGCCGATTTAGGAGGAGGGAGGCGGCCAGGGCGCTGTTACTCCGGAACCAAAATGCGCGGCGCCGGAACCCCGGGAGCCGGCGAGAGGGACCCGCCTCCCGCGGCGCCATGTTGGAAAAGGGCAACTCCAGAACCGACGAGCCCCCGGAGAGAGCGACCCGCCTCCCGCGGCGCCATGTTGGAAGAGGGCAGCTCCGGCTTTACGCGCCCCCGGAGAGAGGGACCTGCCTCGCGTGGTGCCATGTTGGAAGAGGGCAGCTCCGGGCCGACGTGCCCCCGGCCAGTGGGACCCGCCTCCTGCGGCGCCATGTTGGAAGAGGGCAGCTCCTGGGCGGGGCTCTTGCGCTGTGCGGCGCGGAACGGTGGGGAAGTTCAGCTGGGCCCGCTTGCTCGCGAGACCCTCTTCTCCTGTGGGTGCCCGCGGCGACGGGGTTACCACCCTCTCCTTTCCCGATCCCGCTTAAAGAAGCGAGGGGAGAACACCTTGCACAAGAAGACCCAAGCGGCTTGGGAAGCCGGGTCAGGGCGTGGCGCTGGCCGGGGGCCTCGCAGCAGCCTAGGAAAGGTTGGCCTGCACGCCCTGGCCCTGCCTTGTCACTACGCCCCGACACTCGTGGGGGACTGTGCATCAGACCAGCAAGAGCACGGAAGGAGCTCTACCACCAGCTGTCTTTCTTTTCCCTCCAAGTCACAGGAGCAGAGGACCATCCTCCTCCTCCCGCGTTAGCAGGATGCCTGCACGTGTGCAAGAAAGGTCTGTTTTAATCTTGTTTTTGATTTGTTTTTTGAGCTGGGGTCTCGCCCTGTTGCCCAGGCTGGAGTGCAGTGGCGCGATCACGGCTCACTGCAGCCTCGACCTTCTGGCCTCTGTCTCCGAAGTAGCCCGCGCCACCACGCCCAGCTAATTTTTAATTTTTTTTTTTTTTTTTTTTTGAGACACGATCTCGCTATGTTGCCTAAGCTGATTTTGAACTCCTGGGCTCAAGCAATCGTTTCGACGCAGCCTCCCAGATTTGCTGGGATGACAGGCCTACCTTGATTATTTTTTAATGCCTCGTTGCTTCAGGTTTCAAAGCGCAAATCTTGTCGATTTGCGGAGCCCTTACAGAAGTTTGTTTACAAATTGCAACATTTGATTCATCCTTTTTCTCTTTTTACAGAAAATGAACATACCCATTTTACTGGGGGGAGGGGTGAATTTTGTATAAACTCCGTGGAGGGGTGTCACTTTCCCCTATAACAGCCAGATAGTTGATTAATGTGAGAGAGAAAAATAATTTAAATGTTGGTCATTTCAGTATACCAAAATTTTTCAGACTTTTCTCTGCCTGGGTTTCCTTTATACTTAATTTGAAAGGCCATTGTAAGAGATAAAGGATCACACTTAGTTATTGTAAGTTAATAGCTTAGGTAGAAATTCATTTTGTCAGATCCCCCAGATATTCTAGGAATCGCCCATTTTCACCTGCACTTCAATTCTGAAAAGTAAACCGTTCATCCAAAGTCCCTGCGGACTTTTTATTGCAAGTTCATTTCCTATTATTTGAGAAAATAGACCACAAAGCTAGGGACTCTCCATGAACCCGTTGATTTGTTAAAACGTCTCTTTTCTTCCTGGTACCAGGGGAAAACCAACTCCATTTGCCAAATTTGCATACATATTCTGAAGCTTTTCTTGCACTAATGACAAATCCACAGCTCTTTCCCAATTTTTACAGCCAGTGTAATCACACTTCAGTTCCTCACAGCCTGTAGGTAGCAGGAAATCTTAACTTTGATGACTTCAGCAAGGGTTTTTTTCTACACACCCCTCTAAGTTTGACTTTAAAATAGCAGAATTCTTGTATGAGAATATAGATGGCTCCTTTTGAAATGCCTCAGAGGGATAATGTAACAAGGTTCCAATCTTTTCTTTCTTGGAATTCATAGTTAATTCATTACACCTCAGATAGTTCAAAACTCACTGCTGTTCTTATAAAGAATCCATACAATCTCCAATTAAAGTATCCTTTTTTTTAAGCTATTAAAGACAAGGGCAAGTTTTCTTTTTAATTTTGAATCATCACATATCCATTCAACACAGAGCCTTTATGACATGCTAAGTGCTGGAAACAAACATTAGCAGCACATGGTTCTGACCCAGTTGTGTGAAGACCCAGTTCTTCCCTGCATGGCTTCGGTGGACCCTGCATGGAGATGAAGAACTGCTGGTTTTGCTGGCTGTGAAGTCACTAAAACATGCCTTTGCCGTTGTCAACACACAAGTATTTGTCAGATGAAAGAGCGAATGTTGATTGTTAAGTGCTATCTACAATTAAGCGACACCATTTAGATTTTTATTCAAACTTCCACATTCTTGTTCTTTCATTTTATAAATTTAGAGATTTGAAAACATTAGAAAGTAAAGTCTGGATCTTCATCTCATAGTACGGCTCGCAGTACAAGGTATAAAAGGTTACAAGATAATAGACTCTCAGGAATTATTTTTATCCAGTTTTCAAACATCTACATGTTTTGAAATTAAAATATCCACTTTTATTAAATGGAGTTTCACATTTGTATCTATTTGCTGGAGTATTATTTTTTATTTTGTATATTTTTATTCTTCCTTTACAGTTTGAGTAGACAACTTAAATCTGATTTTAAATTATGTACTAATATGAAAATAGAGTAAAATGAATCACTTTGTGGTTAATAAATTCAGTGTTCTGTTTACAGACAGATTGTGATAAAATTACCGATATATTCTGCTGAAGCAGTAAAGGTCATGTCAAATAGCTACTAAAAAAAAATCATTCTACATAGTGGTAATGATGTTACCTTAACACACCAGCTTCCGGGGCGGCATAATTGTTTCTGCCAACCCATAAATTTTTGAGTAACAACAAAATTATTGTGATTTTTCTTACTAAATAATTCATACATTACAAAGCATGTATGTAACAAGGTCCATGAATCACTAAAGCATATAATGATCATATATCTAATGACATCTCTTCTCATAAGATGAATTCAAATAGATTTATGTATTTAGGTTAACTAAAAAATACTGAGTTTATAAGGTTCATAATTCTATCAACAACAACAACAAACTTCAGATGTTCTTTAAGTTCGGTTTCCATGATTTGCTTTTCACGCTGAAAGCTTTTATCAACACGCTTGTGTTTAAGCTACTTTTCATGAAGTTTTACAGCGTTTAAATTGGTACTATAAATATCACAAAGATAAATTAATAATATAATGGAATAGTACACTGTTCATAAACTGTATTTAAAATGACGTAAGGGCAACTAAAATAGCCATCGTCAATACTCTATTCACCCTCTCGCTAGTGGGGTTTGGTCTTTTTTATTTGGTAACTGGGATCCAAGAGGATGTTTTCATTTACCAGCATTTTATTACAGGCTTTACTTGGTTTTATCTTAAATAATCTCAAGCCAAATATATTCTTTCCTTAATGCTACAAAAAGTGATCTCAAATACCTAATTATAACTCAGTTTCATAGCTAAAATTTTTAAAATTCTGAGACTGCAACCTATAAAATGATGTTAAGTCAACATGCTTGAACTATTTTAATCTTTAAAATTTTCTAAATTCAGTTATTTTCTATAAGATTCATGCCATTATAGTTTCTCATACTAACATAATTTTTAATTATAGCAAAAGGGTCTCACTGTGTTGCCCGGGCTGGAATACAGTTGCTTTCACAGATGAGACCATAGCTCATGAGTGCCTGGAACTCCTGGGCTCATGAGATCCTCCTGCTTCAGCCTCCCATCAAACATCTTTAAGCGGATCATCAGCAGCAGTATGTACATTCATGTTATTGTGCATCAGCACCTTCCATCCACAGAACACTTTCCATCTTTCGAAACTCCACCCTTAAACACTCATTGTGCCTTCCTGCCATCTCCCCTTTAATGATCTTAGCAGCTTTACTGAGGTGTAAGTCATATACCACATGGCTCTCTTATTTCAAGTGAATAATTGCTGGAATACAGCCACAGAATTGTGCAACCATTACAGTTAATTTTAGAACAGTTTCATCACCCCCAAAAGAAACCCCTGCCCACTAATGGTGACTCCCCATTTCTTCCCCCACCCTAGGCTCATTTGTCTGTCTCTATAGCTTTACCTATCCTGGAAATCTCATATAAATGGAATTACATAATGTGCGATCTCCTGTGACTGGCTTCTCGCACATAGCATTTTCTTAAACCTCACCAGTGTGCTCGCACATATCGGCCCTTCATTCCTTTTGCTGGCTGAATAATATTCCATTGTGTGACTATACCAGACTGTATTTATCTGCTCCTCAACTGATGGATATTTGTTTCCACTTTTCTGCTACCATGTGTAATGCTGACATGAACATTTGTGTACAAGTTTTTGTGTGGACATAAGTTTTCAATTCTCTAGGGTATATACCTAGAAGCAGACTTGCTGATCATAAAGTAACTCCATGTTTAATATTTTGAGGAATGGTCACACCTTTCTGAAGCTGCTATACCATTTTACATTTCTTTTCTTTCTTTCTTTCTTTCTTTTTTTTTTTCTTTTCTCAGGAGGAGTTTCACCTTGTTGCCCAGGCTGGAGTGCGGTGGCACACTCATGGCTACCACAGCCTCAACTTGCTGGACTCAGGTGATCCCTCCGCCACAGCCATGCAAGTAGCTGGAACCACAGGCACGTGCCATCATGTTTGGCTAATTTTTAAATTTACTGTAGAGAAGAGGTCTTGCCATCTTGCCTAGGCTTGTCTCAAACCCCTGGACTCAGGCAATCCTCTCACTTTCGCCTCCCAAAGTGCTGGGATGACAGGCATGAGCCACCACACCCGGCACATTTTACATTTGTACTGCAGCACATGGGGGTTTCAATCTCTCCACATTGTCACCCACACTTGTTAGTGTCTTTTTTATTACTGTCATCCCAGTGGATGTGAAGTGGTATCTCAGTATGGACTTGTTTTGTATTTCCCTGATAACTAAACACCTTCTCATGTGCTTATTAGCCATGTTCTTAGTGAATTGTCTGTTCAAATCCATTTTAGGTTGGTTTATTGAGGTTTTCTTTTTAGATTGGAAAATATAGTTTATTTAGAAAGTAAATTAGAGAGAGAGAGAGAGAGAGATTGATTCACCTCTCCAAGGTAGGGGAAGGGCCAAAGCTTAGGAAAACATGGCCTGGCCAGAGCTCAAAGAGCACACAGCCAGACCATAGCTTAGCAAGGCTATCGTTGGCTTGTTGAGTTTTAAGAGTTTCCTATATTCTGGACATAATTCCATAATTCCCTTGCAGATACAGGATTTGCAAAATATTTTTCTATTCTATGGGCTGTCTTTTCATTTTCTTGATAGTGTCCTTTGAAGCATTAATTTTTATGAAATCCAGTTTACCCTTTTTTTTGTCATTTGCCTTGACTTTTATTCTTTCCCAAGATATGAGAATTTTGTAGACTTCATATGAAATTAGAAATTCTTTACTAAAAAGCCAACTGACCTTTTAGAAATACACTCACTAATAACTACCTGGATTTATTTTGCTTCAGCTGGATTTGTGCTCTCAATGAGCAGAAGAGAGTTCTGAGTAGTAACCAGATAGTCAAGTGTGTGTTTGTGGAAACTTTTAGTCACATTTTCGTTAAAAAAAAAAAAAATTCAATATCTGATCTCCACTTCATATTAGAAGAATACTCCGTGGATGGTGGGCAATCCTAGCAACACTTCTTATTTTTGGGAAAGCCCCCATAAAACACTTGTCAGGCACATAAAATGATATGAAAGTGAAACATAGTAATTAAGATTTGTGTTCTATTGATTGTGTAGCTTAAGTAATTTTTCATTACTAAAATAAGATTTAATAAGTATAAGTAGTTACAGATTCTGACTTGGCACTAGTCATTAGCATGTAATTGAACTAGTAAAAAAGATCAGTTAAAGTGTGTTGATTACCACCTTATCTCTGAAAGGCAATTAAAGACCTCAATCATTGCAACAAGATTTGACTGTGCAGCTTTATTGGACATTGATCTTTCAGCAAAGTGCAGTTACATTTTCCATTAATTTACAGTAACACAGTTTAACTCTGATACCCTAGACTGTTGACCCAGGTGAGATGTAATGCTAAGTACTTGTTTAGGTTAAGATGCCCAAATGCCATTATTGTATGAATAGTAAGTGCTGAATAAAAGTAGACACTTGATCCACCGGCTTTAGGATAAGGTTTCTGTGACCGACATTGGCTTTTGAGTGAAGTGAAACTAAGACCCTTGCCTTCAGTGTCATCCTGCTTGCTTAAACATCATTCATTCTCTAGTGGAGTTAAAAGACATGTCACGAAGAATTATAGGTGTTCTGTACTTATAGTTGTGGGTGAATATCAATAGAAATGACATGAAATAAAGTGTACTTTTTAGAAGAAATATGTATAGCTTTTAGAAATTCAAAAGGCTTCACTTTTTACTGGTCAACATTAGCAAAATATTAATGACCAAATACGTGATGAAAGACACTGAAACTATTTGAACAGTGTGGCATGTTAGGACATCAATACTGAGACAATAGGGATTTTTTACATTAGCAACCTCGCATGCTCCCCCATGGTTACTGTGTCCTTACAGTGGCTCACAACTTTACACACAAACTAAGAATTTTGCCTAGAAAGTCCTCCCAATACTTGATAATTGATGTGTATAAAGACAATAAGAGATACAAGGTTTTATACTAAAAGCACACCTTCAGGAAAAGTTTTGCCTGGATTCTTTTAAAGACAAAACCCCATTGAATAAATACCAGCAGAAGAGTTGAATTGGTTGTTTCATCAACCAAGAACACTCTCGGGGACGGCCCGTGCCACATGAGGGAAAGGGCAAGGGCAGACTCACACCAATGCCTCCGCTGTACCCCTCCCTTGCCCGCCTTATTTTTGAAATCCTGGTGTTAATGAGTTCCTATTAATATACATGTATGGAACACAAGAGTATGGACTGCAAAAACAGACCTTTTACAGAAATAAATGCCAAGCTGACGAGGCCTGACAAGCTGTTCGTGTTACATGTTAAGGTGGAAAGGTCTCTGGTTGCCTCTTCTCAGGTTACAGGTGGAAAAACTAGACACAAAGGAGTAGAGTTATTAGCCTGAGGTCAGAAAGTAAGACAGCGCTGATACCAAAAATAGACCCAGTCTCCTACCTTCCAGGATCACACTCCATCCACGCAGGTGCTCTGAGTAATATACCACTTCCAAGAAAAACCGACGTATTTCTCCAACTGAGAGGCTCACTGCAAGACCGATACGCCCAATGCATGGTATTTTAATTTCTGAGGGCATCCCTCACTGTGATCAACTCCTTCAGAGCAAGAGGTCTATTGATTTTCATGTAATACAAGAAAGTATTACATTTGCTTAATTGTTACACAGTGAGTACATCAGACAAGAAATCAAGGCTCAACTCAATGCTGCGAGCAGCAGAGAATCACAGGGGCCAATAGGGTAGTTTGTCAAAGATGTTCTCCAAGGAGACCTAGCCATCACCCGATGGACAGGAAGTCACATGACAGTGGCTGTCGAAACCCAGGGAAGCAGAGTCAGCAGCAAAATTATCAGAAATCAAATAGGCCAGTATGAGAAGAGGTGCTGCTCTCCAGCAAAGCTGTATTTATGGTCTGGTAATTAAAAACCATTTTATCAGCCTTGTATAGGGACCAAGCCTTCACAAGCAAGTATTGACAGGCCAGCAGCAATGAATGAGCAGCATTGGACAGAAAACTTAGGACCTGTGGTTCTTCAACGCTGCCCATGACAGAGGAAATCAGTTCTGGCCTGCTTTACAAAATGCTCATCGTCAGTTTTATTATTAATGAAGCCTCGTGCAATGCTATCTCCTTTGTGTGAGTCCTTCGCTTAACTGGTGTCAAGTATATTCTCCTGGACGAACCGTATTGGCATAAGTACTCCTTTGATTACACTGTTATTTAGAATTGCCTTTAAACACGCGAACACTGCATCCATCTAGGGGGACAGTCTCTCTGCAGCTCTTTTAAAATGAGCCCCTCTAACAAAGCCACTTCTATTACTTCATGATTCCTGTTCTCACAATCACTACCTCTCGCTTCCCCTACTGATGCCACAGGAGTAAGCGTCCAAATGTTGGTTAAGTTTTAGAAAACATTTTGCTACAAAATGTGTAAATGTTGCAGTGTATCAGCAACACTGTAGCATAACATGATATATAATGTATGTTTGTAATTATGGGAGAGGCCATAAATCTTAAACACCCATTGGCTTAGAAATTAAATAGTCCTACTTAGTTCTCCCTAAATTACTCCAAATTTCTGAAATTTACCATTCGTTTGGGTATTTTGTGACTGCCCCCAAGGATAAATTTTTTAAATGACTTTGCTTTCAAAAATGCAATTAACTTAAGAAAACTCTCATGCACAAGTGCCATCAGGTCCTTAAAATTTCCACCCACTCTCCATTGCCAATGGGTCTATGGATATGTACTACTGCACTTAATTGCTTTTATCAACAGTTGCCAAATTTATTTTTCTGGGTCTTTCTAGAAGCTCTGAATTATTCTTACAGTTTTGTAGGCACGCTATTTTACCATTTAATAAGTCTTCATTTCATTCACCTTGCTGCACTTACATCACCTAGAGCTGTTAGCACAGTTTTTAAAAAAGTACTACAGTTTCAGATTGTAAAGCAACAAGGAGTGTCAACATGATACTCTCACCCATCCTCCCAGTAAATGCCGCAAGGGCCTTAAAACATATCTATCTGCCGGGCACGGTGGCTCACGCTTGCAATCCCAGCACTTTGGAAGGCAGAGGCGAGAGGATTGCCTAAGCTCAGGGGTTCAAGACTAGCCTGGGCAAGTTGGCAAGACCTCGTTTCTACAATAAATCAAAAAACTAGCCAGGCGTGGTGGCACGTGCCTGTGGTTCCAGCTTCTTGGAAGTCTAAGATGGAAGGATCACCTGAGCCCAGCAGGTCAAGGATGCGGTGGCCATGAGCATGAGTGATTGAGACTCCAACCCCCGCCCCCCAAAAAATCCCACACATCTATTTACAGTCCTGGCAACGGAATGGCTTAGACTTCAGACTGCGTTAAGAGCCTCATCAATTTTGGATTTGCCAATTATATAATATTATCTCCACCATATATGCTAATATGCTTTTCTAATGTCATATAAAAGATTTTTTTCCTTGCATCTTTTCTGTGGGCACCTGTATTTTCTCTTCAGAGTCGATTTAACTTGATAATACCTGACTATTGAATCTGTTACATAATCATCACTTTTCATCTGTAGTTCAGCCTAGTTCTAGGGAACAACTGGCAAAAGCCTTGTGGGCAGCCCCCATGAGCTACCAGAGTGCACAATCTGTAATATGCAGGAAAAGCATCCCTGGGAGGGCAACATTGCATCTCATGGAGCCAGATGCCATTCAGAGACAAAGGTGCTTGCAAAAGTTTTATTTTAAAGGTTCAAAAATAAATACTGCACATTTACACACAAGAATATCCACTGGCATCTATGCTCTCCAATGCACACTTTCAATATATGGCACCTTCCTCTTCTTTATTTAAAAAGTAAATCTTTACTGGTCCATAACTGGTGTGCACAGTCTCCGTGACTCTGGCGAATGACCAGGAGCTAAGTCCATATAGTAATGTTGGGATACCTAGAAGACAAAGGAACATGTGACATATGAACAGCAATGCTTACTGACCAGGTACCCACATGTGTCATGCTACTCATCACACAATGCTCTTGAGCAATGTTAACAAATAGCAAAGTTATAAAAATATGAAAAGATCACCTCACACTGATCATGATGGTCTAAGAGCTCAATTTCATCTATGTAGGACACAGTGGCGATTACGTGAGCCCAGAGATTAGAAACACTATAGATAAGACTAGTATAAACCTTAACGTAAAGCATTAACATTGATTCATTCCTTTCAACTAATCAAGAAGTAACTCTATATTCTTTTCACAAATAAGCAGGTGGAGAAGGATACAGTTCATATAGTTGCAGGTGCTTCTGATTATTAGCATTGAGCTGAAATCACCAGGTTAACATAACTGCTCTTTATGTTAGATGGTTACACTAATGGCTAAAGGCATTTTGATACAACTTATAAGAAACTGAGCCGAGGAACTGTCTTCAAACCGGGATCTGACTCTAAGGACTTCAGCATAACAGATAGGAGAGACACTGTCATCAGTATTTTTACAGTTTATCTGAAAATAGCCATTGTGAACTAGGGATCCAGGAAGCTCCAACACGTCTCCTTTGGAGTCACCATTGACAAAACCTGGCCGCTTTAAGTGAGGCTGGTTGTTGTGTGTGATACAAGAAACTGAACATACTCTCCCCAGAGATACGGGCTCAGCACTCATGCACCTAAGCCAGTGCTGGGCCCAGAACAAACTCCACAGTGCCTATCTTTACTTAAAATCAATGATTATCAACATATTTAAACATATGTATAAGGTTACAGGCCCGTGAGTCAATGGCAAACGGTATATGTCCTGCAGGAGGTTACCTCTATGGCTCCTGTGTGGGAAGTGGGCAGAACAGGACATTTAAGGGTTGCTGTGCACTGGAGAAACACTCTCATTCTGGTTAATAAGGAAATCAACACACGCTCCAGACCAAACATGCTGTTGAATTTTTCTACGAGGCTATACTTGCTGTGTTTCGCCTCTCAAGTGAGTGTTGCACTGTTCTGTGCTTATTCCCAGAAGTTGCCTGCCAGCCACCAAGATGCCAGAGACTGAGCAGGAGAAGGAGCAGGAGAGACATGCCAGTTCAGGCTGGCACCTCCCTCCCTCAGGGACACTCTGGGTCCCGGCTGCGGCTCTCATGGGGTTCCCTGGAACTTCCATGAAACCCTTCATGGCATACGGTCTTCCTTGACTGGGTAATGCCCCAAAGAATCTCCAAATGCCTCGAGGAACTGTCACTAAAATTCACAAAAGCTAAAATAAAGCAACTCATAAATCATTTAGCCAAAAAGGGAAGAAAGGCCAGTGGCCCAGGGGTGGGTGGACAAGAATGTGGACAGACAGGCAGAGTGAGGGGGGCAGAGGATGCAGTGACACAGAGGACACAGGAGAAACATGCCTCACAGTTCCTAAACTGAAAACCGATGGGTGGGGAAAAAGCAGGCTCTGAAGCAGCTGTGAATTTTCTAAACACATTGAAAGTAAAATATATAAAATGAGTCTTTTAAGCCAATGCCAAGGACACACGCTTAAAGGGTGACCGGTGACACTGAAAATTTTGCTTTATAGTATTTATCACACTTTTCAGTTAATATTGATAATTGTTAAAAATCATGATTTTGAAAAAAATCAGAGTCAGGATTTTTTCAGGTAAAATGAAGGACCAATAAAAAAATTATTCATTTAATAATAACTATATTGTCTCACAATCAGCAATGAGTTTACAGGGGACAGAGCTGTGACAGTGAAGTCATAATTCTGTATTTTTTTCAGTCATTTATTTATTTAATGTAGTCAGACTAATACCCTAAATGGGAGGATCTGCCACCTATATAATTTATACATTAAAAATTCTCCTTTGTAGCACACATGCTTTAAAATCTAAAGACTATGAAAAATCAAAATTTCTGCACTCTCTGAAACATATCATAACATCAAAATGAACCTGAAATCAGCTGTTTGCATAATAATTCATTCTGAGTCAGCTGAACAGTAGGTAAAGTACTGTCAAATTAAGCACTTAAAAGAAATGAGAACTTCCTAGTAAACCACCAATTACCCATTCATTCCGAGGGTAAGTTGCTTTTTCTTAAATCTCAATCTACTTCCCAGCAGGACGCCCAGACTGATAAACCATCAGTAAAATGTCAGCTTCCGCGAGGGGAAGGCGGCGGAGAATGCGAACAAATGGGTAAACAGAAATCGTGATTATTTACAAAATGGAAAATGAATTCCTCGGGTAATTACCAACGAGGAACCAAATTCTAAGTGCTCATGCCCTGGTGGGCTTGGAGGTGGTGAACCTGCCGGTCTGGAGGGCGAATGCACTTCACAGCATGGGAGGGACCAGTGATTTCACTGGCTCTCCAACCACAGTTGGAAACAGGGAATGTGTGTTCCAACTGCACTCACTACAGAAAAGCAGCTTGGTAACTCCCTGCATCTGGTACCAAAGCAGACAGAGTCTCCCTTTTTTCGCCTAACTTAAAACTTTCATTCCTGGGTAAGCAGGATTTTTAGAATTTCTAAAGACCATACAGATCATTAAAGTACTCTTCCGCATTAAAACAACAACAACAACTAAGACTGCTATTTCTTTCCTCGAAAGGTCTCCCCATTCTGTATGGGGAATGTCCTGCTACCCTGCTTTTTCTGGATGCTGTCACATCTATGTCTAAAAGAGAAGCCCTGGTCATCCGGGTGATTTTAAACAAAACATTACATTGGAAATAGTGGTAACTTTTTAAAAAAAGGCATTAGGCTCATGGTCCGCTTCTAACCCATCTGTCACACTTTTCCTACTAGTCTTGATATTTGGGAAATGTGACTCCTGGATTCTGAAAATGCTAGAATAAACATGTCATTCGTGGGTCAGGCCATCCCTCCGCCTTTCCAGGTAATTTTGAATTGGATGTTCTGCGTCCCCATGCCCTCCAACTCAGTCCACCCCACATGGGTGGCATGCTCACATGGCCCACCAGCCAAATATCCAAACGGCACATTTTTAAACAGTAACACGTTGCTAAATGATCTTCTTACTGGGTTGAGCCTGGGACAGTCCCAGTGGGGTCATGGTTCAAAACCCCATGGCTGACATGGGTATGATCATAAACACAAACACATGTGTCACATTTACATTTAATCTGCAATCATATTATAGAATACCATGATGGCCACAACCGGTTTAGCTTTAATTCTGGCTCTAAAACACTGGTGGGGTCATGCAGCTTAGCGCCATGTCTGGATTCTGAATGACTGAAATCTAGATGAATTTCATGTCAGCTATTAATAGGTTGAAAACATCTTGAGGCTTTGTATTTCCCCAGACTTATAAAAGATACATTCATGTGCATGTCATTAAACCAAAAGAAAATACGCATCCAGTGAGCAAATGCACTCCGAGCGTGTCCACGAAAACATATGAATATTAAGGAGCTCATCTGCTGAATTCCTCTAGGCCCTGCCCAGGAGGCCACTCCTCCTGGCACACACTTTCAGTACTTTCAGTACAACGAACTCGCTGGGATTCACATGAAGACAACAAAGAAACTTCAAAAGTAGCTTCAGCTTTTGTGCCAGAAAAGCACCTGCCAGGTGACATCCCGGGAGGAGCCCCACCAGGCAAGAAGCCCTTCAGGTCAGAGCAAAACTTCCAGCGGGAAGCTTCTCTGCAGTCCCTTCTCAGTGCTCAATGCGGGGCCCTGCCTGAAGGACAGCACAGAGGCTTGAGGATGGCCCGCCCCCTCCCCAGGGCTGATGCAGGGCAGGTCCTCAGTGCAGCACAGTGCTAAGCCAGTACTTTCAGTACTAAGTCAGTACTTAGTGCAATGCTTACAGTGCTAAGTCTGTACTCAGTGCAGTACTCAGTGCTAAATAAGTACCTAGCACAGTACTTACAATGCTAAGCCAGTACTTTCAGTACTAAGTCTGTATTGAGTACAATGCTTACAATGCTGTCAGTACTTAGTGCAGTACTTGCAGTACTAAGTCAGCACTAAGGGCAATGCTTAAGTCAGTTCTTAGTGCAGTACTTGCAGTGCTAAGTCAGTACTTACAGTGCTATGCCAGTATTTAGTGCAGTACTTACAGTGCTAAGCCAGTACTTTCAGTACTAAGTCAGTACTTACAGTGCCAAGTCAGTACTTAGTGCAATACTTACAGATTAAGCCAGTACTTTCAGTACTAAGTATTTAGTGCAGCACTTATAGTCTGTCAGTACTTTTGGTACTAAGTCAGTACTTAGTACAATGCTTACAGTGCTAAGTCAGTATTTAGTGCAGTACTCAGTGCTAAGTCAGGACCTAGTGTAGTACTCACAGTGCTAAGCCAGTACTTTCAATACTAAGTCTGTACTTAGCGCAATGCTTACAGTGCTGTCAGTACTCATGTAGTACTTGCAGTACTAAGCACTTAGGGCAATGCTCACAGTGCTAAGTCAGTTCTTAGTGCAGTACTTACAGTGCTGCATCAGAACTTACAGTGCTAAGTCAGAACTTAGTGCAGTACTTACAGTGCTGCACCAGAACTTACAGTGCTAAGTCAGTACTTAGTGCAGTACTTACAGTACTGAGTCAGAACTTAGTGCAATGCTTACAGTGCTAAGTCGGTACTTGCAAGCTAAGTCAGTACTAAGTGCTCAGTACAGCATTTCCCGGGGACCGGGTTCAGCATCCAGGAGCTGAGCCGTCAGGATCTCCTGCGTGGCCCCCCGCCGCGTCCGCAGCGCGCCGCGCGTTCCAGGCCACTCACCGAGGTTGAGGGCCTTGAGCGCAGTGAAGAGGCGGTCCTGCGCAGCCAGGTCACTCCAGGGCGCGCGCGAGCAGTGGTACTTGACGAACGGGAAGCAGCCGGTGCGCAGCACGTGGTAGTTGGCGCCGGGCACCGGACAGTTGAAGTGCGAGCGGCCGAATTGGTCGTTGCGCACGGCGCGGTAGGGCACCAGGAACGACGTCCAGTGCGGCAGGCGCCGCTGCAGCAGGTGCCGCGTCAGCACCTCGGACGCGCGGGGCCGCGGGCGGGCCGCGGCGCGCGGGGCCCATGGCCGGTTCAGCAGCAGGTGTAGCACGGCCTCGTGCGCCCTCCGCGCGGCCTCCATGGCAGCAGGGCCGCGGCGGCGGCGGCGGCGGCGGCGGCGGCGGCGGCGGCGGCGGCGGCG